CTGGGATTACACGAGTGTGCCACCATGCCTGAGTACTTTATTGTTTTGAATATACTGTTTTATTGTTCATTGACCCTCATCATTACCAATTAAGATGTTATCTGTCAAGCAGTTGTTCCTTCATAGTTAATCTGTCTTTCGTCTTGGTTAATTTTAAGACCTTTTCTTTGAAGGTCATATTAGATATGATTTAAACTCACTGTAGCCCTACAATCTTTTTTATACTATACTTGACCCATTTGTTCGTACAATTCTTGTCTGAGTGCATCACAGTTTGGAATTCCTGATAGATCCTGAATTTGATATCTGAAAGCCCCACCTGCATGCCCTTCTCTCAAAAAATGGGTGGAAAAGGAGACAGTGACAATTAGCTTTTATATGTAGCTTGTTCCTTCACTTCTTATTTCAACTTAAATGAAGTTAAGGCTTGCTAATATGCTCATCTAAGGAAATGGCATACAAGGCCAAAATACTTACTAAAATTTGGTTTATGTAATTAGTGCTTTCTATATTTGTTAAAAAGTCATTTATTATACTAACTTTATTACTGTAGTATGATTAATCTTATTCTGATGTTATCTCAGGCAGTGTTCTGCCTGGGAATTAGCAAAGTAATTTTTTTTATCATATAATGGTGTTGATTCAGAACTGATTGTCTTTGTCCAGTTTGTATAAAGTTGCTTTTATTTATGAATTATCTGTAGTGGAAGAATATTTGCCAAAACATTACCAAATTGGGCCCAGACCCAATTACGTAGCATTTTTTTTGAAGCAAGGGAAAATGATGGACATTAAATGAATGATAATCTTTCCTCAGATACCAGTTTGAATACTTCCTACAATATTTGGAGTGCATAGGACTTTTTGTTTAGTTTGAATTACTTTAGTTGGGCAGAAGATTCAAGGACATGCTCTGGGAGTTCAATTTAAAGCCTAGCTATTTTATTTATTTTTGTAGTATTAGGGGTTGAACTCGGGGGTTCGCAGACTGTGCTATATCCCTAGACTTTTTTATTTTTTATTTTGAGACAGAATCTAACCAAATTTCCCAGGATGGCCTTGAACTTCTGATTCTTCTACCTCAGACTCCCTAGTAGCTGAGGTTTCAGGTGTTTGCCACCGTGCCTGACTAATTCTTAACTTTTCAGTGAAGCTTTACAGATTAACTTTGCAGTTTATGTTTTGTTTCTCAGTGCTGGAGATCAAACCCAGGGCCTTGTGCATGTTAGCACTCTACTACTAAACTACAGCCCAGCCCTACAGTTTATGTAGGTGACAGATTGCTTCAGAGTCAACATGTCTTAAAACCCATTACATTTTTAAAAGTTTTACTTATTAGTTCTGCTTTCTTTATTTTTAAAATTAATGTCATTTTGTATTTGTGTAAATCTTAGAATCTGTGGACATTTTAATGGAAGTTTTGGTAACAGTGATTTTATGACAAAATTCTTTGTTATAGGTTTCTAAGATTTGTGTGCTTATTTCATTCAGGGATATAAAATTGGGGCTGGGGATTTAGCTCAGCGGCAAAAGCGCCTGCCTGGCAAGCGCAAGGTCGTGAGTTCGGTTTCCAGTACCGGAGAAAAACCAAAAAAAAAAAAAACAAAACTCAGGGATATAAAATTGTTGGTATTCTAAGATACAAAATTTTTGAATGGCAATATATATATTATAAGAAAATTATAATTTTCTTAGAAAGTTTATTTTCTAGTGTATAATATTTTGAATGTATTTGACCTGTAAAATATCAATCTTTAATTATAACTGTAAGAATTATGTTCATGATGTCTTATTATAACAATATGAATTAGTGAATATTATATCATACTACTCATTTTAATATATTATCCCGTGGTTTGCTTTAATTATTAAAGTTGATATAGCCCAACTCCAAATGATACATACCCACTGGGACTTCATTTATAACTGCTCTTCCATCTTGTATATCTGAAAATGTAGTTAAGTAATTTAGCTGATTCTTGCTTCTTTTTAAGCGTAGTTTTAATGTAGGAAATGATAAACTCAATGTTAGTTTTACTTCTTTATTTCATTTTGGCGGGCAGCAGGAGGGTAACATACACCCTAATACAACTTTTAATTGAAGATATTTTATGAGATTGTATTTTGGATGGAAGAGCTAGCAAATCTCTTCTCTAGCCTGGCAATGGAAAATTTAGGTAAATTTTTTTGGTTGTACCCCAGTGTTTTTTGGTCACTAACATCCAGCAAAAATCTGTTGTATACATATTTTCTATACTTGCGTTTACCTTGTTATTGTGGAAGTGTTCTCACACTTTTATAAATAGTTGAAAACTTTACTATGCAATGAAAATTTTAATTCTGATTAAACAGTGTCCTTAATATTGATTGCTGCTTATATTTCTTAAAGAATTGCACAGTGAATCCAAAAGAAACTATCTTGAAAAGAGTGAAGGATATTGGGCACATCTTCAAAGAGAAGTTTGCTAAAGCTGTGGGACAGGGATGTATTGAAATTGGATCACAGGTAACTTGAGTTCATTTTCTTTAGCACTACTATATAGGAGTAATTTTAAAGGCACTCTCTGTCCAGACTGTACAATACAGTATATACTGCTAGACATACTGGCATATATTGTATCCCCACTATCTGTATATGCTGTTATTTATAAGAAACTTTATGGGAAATCACTTCCTACTTAAAACAAAAACCAAGTGCACATGCCAACTGTGGAAACTTTAGAAATTATGAGTAAAAGGAATTAAAATCATTAACTCAGTTTTTTATTTATATACTTAGATATCTACATATATGAATATTTGTGTATACATTTGTGAATGAAATTACAGTATTTATGCCATTTGTCAGTGATGTGATTGCAGGCAATCTAAAATAAAAAATAAAATCAATACATTGGGTAAGAATATGTGCTCTGGACTTACAGTCTGTGTTTATATCTGGTTATGCTATTTATTATCTGTGTGATGAATATGTTGTTTAACATCTCTGAAATTCAGATTCTGCATTTGGTCTGCTTTATTATGTGGCATTAATGCAAGTAGTATGTAAAAATAAGTTTGTAAATTATAATTCTCTGTACTTGAAAGTTCTTTTTGGTTATATATAACCTTATGCTCTTAATTTGGAATGAAAGAATATGGTTTGTTTTTGCATATATGTGTATATAACTCGGAAGTTTGGTTATTCTTTCAACTGATAGAAACTGGTTATTTGGTTAAAACATCTTGCTGATAAGGTAACTTTTGTGTGATTTTTGCATGTGCCATTTGTACTAAGTTTTATAGGCAGAGATTGTTCTCTTAATCATAAATATGTGAAATGCTTAAAGTAGTACTTGGTATATAACCTCTCCTTAATGATGTAGACTGAAGGAAAATCAAGTAGCAGACCTATTGGTACTATCCCTTTATACACAGGTCTTGTTTTAGACAAGCTACCTTTTTGTGTTCTTTTAGTAGCCATATTCTTAATAAGGGTATTAGGAAGTGTATTTTAAGAAAAAGTTTACCATGAATTAATAATTGTCATGATATTCTAAAATAGCAAGGTCTTATATTTTTTTGTTTGTAGCGATACAAACTTGGAGTCCGATTGTATTACCGAGTGATGGAATCCATGCTTAAATCTGTAAGTTAAAAAGAAAACAGTAGAAGAATATTCAATCCTGACGTACATAAGGTTTCATTTAAATTTTTTTTGAAATTATCTATTTTAGGAAGAAGAACGATTATCCATTCAAAATTTTAGGTAAATTCTTTAGTTTTAGTAAAAATTCTTCCTTTTTTTTAAATAAGAGTAAATATTTAAAATCATTCTTTGTTTTTCCTTTAGCAAACTCCTGAATGACAACGTGTTTCATATGTCTTTATTGGCCTGTGCTCTTGAAGTTGTAATGGCTACATATAGCAGTAAGTTAAATTTTAGTAAATAGATGTTTTAGTTCAATTTAAAGTTTTAAAGAAACCCCAGGTGTGTTGTTTTTTGGAAGGGGGTTTTAAGGGGAAGAAAGGTATATTTTAGATCAATGTATTCTGAAGAATGTAACTGACAGCCATAAACAATTTGAGTGGCTTATCATCTGAATCATTTCAGGTCACCTTGAGGATGATGTTTCATGCCCTATTCTGAACTTCCTGAATCCAGGAAATCCTTTCAGAGACCTGTAAGATTGTTAAGTGTAGAGTAGTAGTAAAGAACAGCCAGTTGGCACCTCTATGGCCGTGAGACCAAAGGTCCGAGCTGGGATTCTACAAACTTGAATGCTTGTTAAGCCAACTATGAAAATTTAGTAATTTAGTGCTGAACAGAACAAAGACCAATAAGCATTTTTTTAAAAATATAATTTAAGTATGTATTATTTTACATAATTTTTAAAATATAATTTCAAGTATGTTACAAATGTTTTTTAAAACTTTTGCTTATAGAAGAACATTTGTCTAAGGATACAAATACATAACAAAAGAGGAACTTTAACTAGTAAACATGTACAGAAAACTGAATCCTCCTTAATAGCCTAAAGCTGCACATTTTAAAGAAAAACCCTTTTGTTACTAATGAAATTAGCAAAATTTTCATGCACCTTAGCCTTTCTCCACCAAGGCTTTAATGAGCATTAAAATGGATATGGTAAGGAGCTGCTATAAGATGTAAACCTATCCCTAATATAAGTTTAGGATATTTAAACCTTTCAAATTTTTGAATAAACCATGAACTTTTCTTCTAAGGAAAACATAGGTACACATGCAGTCAAAATTTGGAAGCCTATCTTTTGGAAGTCTGTAGACTCCAGAATAAAAAATTCTGCTCTAAATAAGAATAGTTTAACCTTTCTACAGTATTTAAGACCTTCCAAATAAAAATACTTAGTTTAAGTTTTAACACTTCACATCTATACATTTTTTCAGAAAGGGACTCTCCTTACCCAGGAGCTTGGCCCTCCCAGTCCGTCACCGGCCTTTAGAAGCAGCTGCCTGAGAAGCAGGAGGTCGGAAGACTATTTCCTGCACGCATGCCCTGGGATCATCACTGATTCTGCCTATTGACCCCCCCCCCCCCCATTTCAGCTCAGATACAAAGCGGCACTTGCTTGAGGTCAGCCTTGAAGGTCTCTGCCCACATTTCAGTGAGGAAGACAACGCTCCCTTCTGCCCTGTGAAGGGTTCTTATTTATTTATTGTTTTCTTTTCTTTTAAAATTTGCATGATTTTATTGATTGTTTCATTGTCTTTTGGAGGCAGGGTTTCACTATGCAGTTCAGGCTGGCCTTGAACTTACTCTGTAGCCCAGGCTGGCCTCGAACTCCCAGTGACTGATTTTCCTGTCTCAGCTTTCCGAATGCTAGGACTTAGGAGTACACACACATTTGTGCACACACAGGTTTTCTGGCTAGAAATGCTCAGGGCACACTTAGGCTGCTCTTAGCTCTTAGGTACTGCTGAAGGTTTTAGACAGGTAGGACGCTACTCTTTATCGATTCAGCTCTGTACAATATACTGTGTAGACATTATCCCACTGTATAGTTTGAGCCAATTGGTATGGATACATATTTAAAATGTATTGGCATATACGTTTCTATGTTGGTTTGTTCTACTAGCATCCCTACTTTATCCCTGAAAACCTTTGAATGCTAGTGGTTCTTCCCTAATTTAATAAAAGTCCTGTGGTGGCTTCAGGATATCTAATTCCACTTTTTAAGAGTAGGAAGAATTTATTGAGAGAAAGAAAGCTTCTGTCTAAGAGGGACAGAAGGGGGCCTGGAAAGTGGGTTGCCTGTCAACCCTACTTCTCAAGGGTGTTATTTTTTATTATTATTATTTTTTTTAATTTCAAGTGTGTTTATTGAGCAAAGCCACAAAGTGAGGCAAGCTTAAAGTGAGAATTAATAAGATTACAAGTACAGTCACTTAGGTAATATTGATTCAGTGGAAAACCATAGGATGGGTGTGAGGTGAGACAAAATTGTGGTCAACCAATGAGTATACAAGAAGTATAGTCGCTAGGGTAATATTGATCAAATGGGGACACAAGTCACGTAGCAAGTGCACATGGGCAGACAAGGACTGTCCTGGAGGGGGCGGGTTAATGAGGTTTGGTCCTCCACCCCCAAGTGATGGATGCCTACTCAGAATACCAATCACTGCTGTTCATCCCTAGGGGAAGTATGTAGGTGAATAATCCTTTATCTTGAAGCCTGGCCTCCAGTGAATGCACCTCCAGCCACAGTTGTCTTCTGCATTGACCTCTGGAGGGCTCCTCCCTGTCTGACTGCCTACAATATTTCTACCTAATTTAGCTATCTACAATATTACCCCCTCTGAAGAAGTACCTCTAAGTGCTATAAGGGGACAAGGATGGAAGGTCGATCTGGCTACTTTCAGCTGAAGAGGGTCATAGTTGTGATCAGCAGAGATGCTCCACAGAGGGTCTTTCTAAAGGCCTTCAATAGGCACCAGGCATTCTTGTCTTGTGTGGAGAAGGACATCCAATAGTTTACCTTACAATGTATGACCCATATCGGACTTTGAGCCTGACCAGGCCATATAGAGGAAGTCTAGCAAAAACCTTCCGGTTAAAGGAAATGAAAACAGGACCTTAGCCCCAGTGGAATGTTGCTGGGACAGCACGAGATGTTTTGCTAAGATACGTCCGAAGGAATGATAGCATGATGGCTAGGAAGGCCAAAGTACAGCTCCTGGGATAGTTAAACTATAATGTCCTCACTAATCTTGTTAATCATTCCTCCCATTTCCCCTATTCCTGTTTTATGTTAGAGAATCTTAATAAGAGGCTAGAGAAAATTGCAATCAAGGCTTCAGTCCCAGAGACTGTGGCCCCTGGTCCCATAACTTTGTCTTTCTTGTTTTGCTTTTCATCTGCCTCACCTTGTTTTCGGGACCTTTCACCTCAGTCTTGGGTGGATGTATAGCTTTAAGTCTGGAGGAGACAAGGCCACGGAAACAATGAAGTATGCATGGACCCAATAATAAAATCAACAGGGTCATAATGAGTATAGCCAACAAAGTTTTCCACCAGGAGGAGCCAGTAATAGCTTTTCATAAAGAGGATAAGGAGAAGGTCCAGAGAATTTCAGATTCTGACATGTCACTAACCTGTCACCTAATACCTTGAGCAGGTATTGAGATATTAGTAGAAGGATCCAGAATGTACAGAAAACATTTAGCTTTTATAATTTACAAGTAGTATCCCCTTGTGTGGTGGTTAGAATGTCTAATGCCATCCAGTTTTGGAGGACAGCCTATCTCATTAATTTTACTTCTTCATTCAGGAGACACCAACTGAGGTCTTGTTTAAGGCCCACTGAGTATAGTTAGTTAAGGCCTCGATGTGCTACATGACATCCTCTAATCCTAGGGAAGGGATAAAGATAGAAGCCAAATGATCATACCAGGATACACGCTTCTAGACCATAGATGCCATAGACAGGGCATGTTTGCAGTCTGTCGACATTTTGACACTTCTGCCTTGTAAACATGCAAATCCCAGCATGCATCTTCCTATCCATCCAGGGGTAGCCACGTCCACAAATTGGTTCCACAGGACCAATGAGTACCATTAAAGGCTTCCCATCTAATTCTGGGGCAATTTGTTGCAAGCCAGTCTTCTGCCTATAAAGCTATTAAGTCCATACATTGTTTTGGGGGGTGTGTCCATCCCAAGTATTTAGTAGAGTAAGACCAATGAGAATAAGAGTGATTTTTCTAATTCCATTGTTATGTGTTATTACAGTGGTTCCAAAAAATCAAAGTTTTTAAAAGAAAGAAATTCAATGTAACTAAGAAGAAGGGAGAAAAAATAGCCTCAGTAGTGTCAAAAGTAAATGTTCCGGATAAAAGAAATGTCAAATGGTTGATTCTTAAAGTGTTTAGTGAGCCAGCGATATAGCAGAGTAGCACAGTACATGCCTGACAAGCACGAGGTCATGAGTTCGATTCCCCATACCAAAAAAAGTTTAGTGATAATGCATGATATAGACCCTCTGCTGTCTCTCCAAAAAATTGCCGAAGTGTATGCAGAATGCTATTGACTTGGTGTGAGTGGAATATTTAAGAGTATGTGAAGATTTGTCGAGTCCCATGTTGATGTGAAGAAAATCCAGAGACAGCACTTGTGGACAAAGGAGCTGAGAGTCGGAGACACTGGTATGTCTCTCCAGGTGGCATACTGTTCGGGAGTACACTATTGTCACTGCAATAAAGGTGAATGTCGTCCCTAAAGCTGTGATATTCTCAGTCCTCTCAGCCACCTGTGCTGACCTTAAATTAAGAGTTAGTTGAAAACATACTTGATTATGATAGAGATGATATAGATACATAGATGATATAGATACATATAGATGATATAGATACATATAGATGATATAAATAGATAGCTATAGATATAGATACAGATGATATAGATAAATACAGATATAGATGATATAGATATAGATCAAAATACAGAGCATCTGTTCTTTGTATGGCTAAGATTTTATTTCTGTTTGGAATTTTCTACATGCTAGTTATAAGGAAGTTAAAATTAATAAGAAAATATAAAATCAATAAAATAAAGTATTAAATTTTAATACATATTGAACATTTAGAATAAACATCAACATTTTCATCAGTGAGTGTTTGATAACAAAATCTAAAAAATAACAACAGAAATAAATCACTATATAAACAACAATGAAGATACCATTAGAACTCTGGGACAAAAATAAACTTTCCTTCAATGTCACACCCAAGGCAGTCTTCACACATGACCACACCACGTTGCACGCACACATCTCTCTTACACTGACAGCACATGTGCTTAGCTTCTTTTCTTGTTCTCATCAACTGTCTTGTCTTCTTCTGTTGTCAGGAGCTTCTTACTAGATATTACAATGTTCACATGGTAGGAAAATAGGATATTAATAAATTAA